TGACATGGGGAAGACAGGAAAAGGTCGAGGTCGAGAATTGTTGCAATTTTGTCACGAATATTATTTATTTGAGCATTAACTAAAAATCTCAAATATGGAGAAAACTACGTTTCGCCAATTTTTAGCTAGAGGGATTGAGGGATGAGTTGACCGTTCGGTCCTTTTTGATTTCGTAAGAAAGTTTATAATGATATAAATCATGATTTATTGGGATAAATAATTTAAGACTGTTATCATACACTGAAAATAGGCATTTGATTACACATGTAGAATAACTCTTTCACTAAATAAATAAGTTTATTCATTCGAATTTGATTTATGATTATGAATTTATGAACGAGTTTAACCAACCGAGTTTATCTCTCGTCTCCTCTATATTGGCTTCTCTTCACTAGCAGCACCTGAAATTAGGCCAGTTATATACTATGTGTACTACGAAAAAGAAAAGTGATAGATTCAGAAATAAAGCTCATTTGATGAGTAGTACAGTTGCGGGTCTAGTTATATTGTTTATAAAGTATCGAAAACAAAGAAAAATGCAGTGCAAAATGAATTTTTGCTCAAAATTTTCATCATTATGAAGATCGTGTTAATTTACCCACCTTAATGATTTTGTAGGTGAAGTTGGGCAATCAAGAAAGATACCATGCTTCGTACATTTTCACAGATTGGTAATTTTTTTGTGATGAATGGGTTGAAATAACGTTAATCATGAAATATCGCATGACTCTTTGACTTGATATGACGTTTTATCTATCTCATGAGCAGTAAATATAACTTGATTTGACGGAAAACAAGATTGATATTCTTAAATGTGAATTAGGCCCCCTATATTGAGGTATTTATCACCAAATTATGATGACGTCATATGCTTGTCTTATTATTTATAAGAAATACTTTTATATGATAATAAATTGCTCAAACCTAAACTACTTTGACTACTTTCTTCATTATTTGATTAATTTTTTTCTTAATTGGTGTCTAAAATAGAAATATTCAGGTTTCTTTTTTCAGCTTAAATACAAACAGATTATTACTTAGTGTCATGAGCGGAGGTTTTTGAACGTATCATGTTGATAAATATTAATTGTAATGTATGCTTTACGCTTTCATATTTTTGCAAAAAATAACATTTTAATATATTCTATGGATTTCCGATTTCAACACCGATTATTTTGATACTTTTGAGTAAATCCGAAAAATTCAAATATTTGGAGCAAAATTGTAAGAAGAAGATAGTTTGATGACTACTAAAATGGATTTCATGCAAACGTTTTTACGTAATTCACTTTTTAAGAAAAACGGGACCTCGCCAGAAATTTGATTTGATCAATTCAAAGTATTCGGATCAAGAACCGTGATTTATTTTTAGTAATTTATAAACTACTAAACGATTTGTTTTTATTCAAAACACGATCAAAATTTGTGATATAAAATTTCCGAATTCTTGTGGTCTCTAATTCGAATTTGATTGCATCAAAACAATTGATTGCATGGCCTCCCACTTGACAGGGTGGTAATTACGTATCCCACTTTACTAACAAATTACTCTCAAATTTATCCAATAGAAGCTGAGGTGACAATTGTCGCCACCCTGTACCTGAAACTTATCTTGTTACGCAACAAGGCAAATTCTTCAAAATTGCAAAAGTCAAAACTCTTGAAAGCTGGGTCTAGCTTTCAAGGTATATAGTAAATCAACACGATTTAAAAATTAATTTATGCTATCATAATGAAATTAATTTAGATATTTCAAATTTTGGGGTCATTCCAGAGTTCCAAATTGAAGTTGTTGTTTTTTTGCTCATGTTTAAAATTTACAGTGGACTCGCACCTAAAATGAGCGTACAATTCGAGGCTAAAATGGAGCTTTTCACTTACCACGCTTATATAAAGTCAACACTGGTGTTCAGATACTAGAAACAACGAATTTACTAATATTTGTAAGCTTCCGTCACCCATCGCTACCATTTACGTCAAATTGTGTGTTAACGCGATACTCTCGAAGGTGGTTTTACAATAAGTTAGGGGTAATGAAAGGGATTGCCAAATAAAACCCACAATTTGATTCCACTTTTTGCATGCAGTGTGTTGATGTTGAGTGTAACTTGTGTTTCGTCGAATGTGTAAAATTTTTTGTTCACAAAGAAACAAACGAACTTGTTACGAAAGGAATTTTTTTGAATTGTGCCTCAAGTAAATACATGTTGGTATCTCAATCAATAATATCTTAATCATTTTATTTGAATGACATTTAACCGATATAAAATTTATCAAAGTAAAATCGGTAAATAAATCAGTGAATTTTGAATGATAAAATCGCTCAACTGTCAAAGAAGTTTGACTGATGTATGTGTAGAGAATTACAGACGGAGTTATGAACGGAAACAAATTTTCGATTGATCAAATATGATCCATAACTAAACAGTACCTTTATTGAATGTTGTATCCATCTATCATGCCAGTCATATTATGGTTTTCGTCCATTTAATTGCGGTGCAAAAAGTTCAATGTAATGTTATGATAAAACCTAATCGTCACTTTCAGATAGGTGCTAATATAGTTTTAAACTTTATGTTTATTTGTTTACCTGTTCAACTTCACAAAAGTGATATATGATTATTATAAATTTATTTGATTAACTTTTACAAAAAGAATTAACCCATTCTTTTAAATTTTCATTCACTCTTAAAATAATTCCTGATATTCTACAGACCACCGTACAAAATTTTGGGTTTGAAATATTTTGTGTATTAAAGCAATATAAATTTCCAAAAAATTGAAATACGTTGACTTATCGTAGATGCAAACATGGAATTTCTAAATAACATCCATTTGTATGACAAGCTCGTCATGGTGTAGTTTCATTTTGTCAGCCAGTTTTTTGTTATAAAGTAGAATTAATCGTTTTCTAGCAAACTAAATCAGATACACAAAAGGGACTAAATGCCATTATAATTATAAAATGTATTCTTTGAAATTTTCATTGAATCAAATCCTTACACAAAGTAATTGTTCAAATATCTTCCCCCCAATTGTAGGACTCCGTCAGTAGCATTATGAGATACGACTATAATTTTTGGATGCTGTCTTAAGCCGGTAGTTATTACTGGTATTTGCGAATGAACGCAGCTATAGCATAACGCGCAGGCAGTATCTTTTGTTGTTCCCCAATGCCAAAAGTGAGTTAGGAAAAGCCGACTAGTGAACAATCTATTATCTATTCGATTCAGATTTAAGAACAGTGATCACGATGTCCGTTTCTGCACATTGAAAATATCACCCAAAACTTTTTAGCATTGAAGTTATATCATTCAAAACATATATCATTCCTTCCATTCTACAACAACAACAAAAAGAAAATTGCTTTGTTTTGTGGTGACAAAATTGAATACTCAAGTAATGGCTGAACATTTTTGTCCCGATTTACGTATATTGATCTTACGACTGTGAAAGGATATAGATCTACCAATTTGAAGGAAGTATTCATTGAATTCAATTTTCTAGACTAAATGATTGATTCAAATAACATATTCACTAAACTATATTTAAATCATTTATTACCATATCGTATTGGTTGTGTCGGAAATCTGTTTTAACCATTGTTTAACAAATTTGATAATATTTATATTTACTTCACTTTTTATTTAGAATATCTGTTCTGGTTACGCCAAGAATAATTTCACTTATAATTTGAGTTTGACGCTATTCGAGTTCAGGCATCAAGACAAGATCTTAAATACTTTTATTCGGTTTTAGGCGAAGCTGTTAGTTTTTGCTTGAAGGTATTGGTTAAGAATCAAAACTATTTGAGTGGAGTATTGTTGAAAAGTACTGAAGGAGGTAGATATTTATTATATGGGTGATGTGCTGCAACTAAAAAAAATATGCGATTAAACGTGAAAGCGTTTAATCAAAAAACTTTTTTTTTAATACAGGTATTGATATGTGATTTCATCGAGACCAGTGTCTGCGTTGACTTATCCCAATTCATGTAAATTCTGCATTCCTTACCAGAATTATAATATACTTATGCTTTCCATTTAGAAGAAGGTAAATGGCGTTAAGTATGATAATTGACATGCTTGTTAGTGATCAGTTATTTTATGCGCATCCCATGGATAAGCCATTAGACACCTTTTCGAGAAAAGTATAAGCAGATCATTATCGGTGTCTGATTGAGGATGCAGTGCTGTCATCGCGCCATAGTCGCTAGTTAACGACGCCTAGGTAACAGGCATACGACGTATAGTAAAATACCGTTGCAGTTAGAGAGTGTTTGTGTGTTATATTACGTAGGTTACTCAAACCTAAATCCAGACTTTTCAGTAGTCATAAAGGGAGATAACGCGTCATATAGTAAAAAGAATAGGTTTAGATAAAATTCTGCATTAGCTCGATTTAGTTTTTGTGTTTTAATGTTTTATCTTTGCTGTATTTTTTATATTATTGACGGAGCAAAAAAAGCTTTTCTGGCGGTATAATGTTTTTTACGGTAGCATCATCATTGTTATACATAAGCAAGAAATATATGAACTTGATTCGGATAAGCAGCTCAAAAATCATGCTACCATTTTGCAAAGAAATAATTCATTTAACTAAAACTACTAACTTTTGCTATATTTCGTGTGCTTCCTAATACAAATGAAGAGATTCGGATCTCAACGAAAACTCCAAAATATAAAATTGTGTTGTTTAAAGTCACGGTCTATTAGGCATAGCCATTTTGAAAATAAATTAAAAATTTTTCAGGGTATCTATCAATAGCCTAGTACAAGCGCCATTTTGAAAATGTCAACCAACGCCTTGAAAAGTCTCACGATCCTGCACTTAAAGATTTGTTTATAGTCATGTTAGATTATTTGAGAACAATTTTTATTTTTGTAATTTGGTGATTCGATAAACATTTGCGTGTTTTTCTTCAATTTGCTCATTTTGGATAAATTTTATTAAATATAGATTTATTACGAAACTTGTGTTTTTTTCATTCAAAGAGATTTTAGATTAGTGCCCTAAGGTAAGACTTTCATCTCGCGAAAGTATTTTTTGAACATTGCACCATGTCCAACTCACTGCCGTTTGGAATGAACAGAATATTGGGATGGCGAACCGATGACAATGACGTGACGGAAATTCCGGGTATGTACAATATATTGCCTCATTTAAATACAAGTATCAAAGCTAGAACAAGTTGGAAAACTTATTTTTAAGTTGGTAGAAATTTTAGACTGACTTTGGAATTGATGTTTCAATAAAATTATCAATTAACCCAATGGTGATATTTTCTGATGTAAATGAAGTAAAAAATACGAGCATTAGTAATCAAAAGTTATATTTTTTTAGACCGGTATATTTACACAATATTGTTCACATAGACAAGCCAACAAATGAATACAGTTAGCTGAATAAAATTTCCTCTTTGCTTGTTGGAAGTAAAAAAAAAATTTTTACATCATAGTTGCAATTTTCCAAATTAATTGCTCTAATTTTCATATCACTATAACCCACTTTCAATTTGTTTTTAAAGTCATCGTCACTCCTCTGATCTCATCCTTTGGGATCAATGTTACAAAGGACATCAGATATTTAGGAATTGACATACACGATTATAAAGATATGCAATATTCCAACCAGGCCTAAAAACCTCGAAAAGAATCTACAACCTTTTCTACAATTTTTCAAAATAAATTTTTGATATGCAACCTTTCAGGTTTAATAATCATTAAATCGATTTTTGTGTAGACCGCCCATTTCACCAAATTAAAATATAAATTTATTTATAATAATGTTTATAAATTTTTTACTTGTAAAATCTTGTTGCTGAAGTCCAGTCAGGATTTAGTTTCGGAATGACAATTGCCTAAATGCGAGTAAAGCTTTCTAGACAGTCTGAGTGAAAAAACGTCATGTCGAATTTATACCCAATTTACTCATTTTTATTACATTTTTGGGGAAATTACAACCACAGTGGTACAAATTGTGTATTTAAATAGATGTTCTGTTAATATAATTAATTAAGTATTCATAAAGCGCATTAAAGCAATTGTTTTCTAATACAAACATATTCTCAAACAATAGTATATAACAATAGTTGAAACATGATTACATATAACCTAACTCCAAACAAATTTTGTCAATCTCAGAAGCAATATATTGTTTGCTAGCATATATTTTAAGAATTTCATTTTTGCATATACAGTATCAATACCTCGTTACACCAATTTGTTGTTTGAGTAGAATTCACCCCAAATACATCTTTTATGCATATAAATAAATGAATTTTCAAAATCACAGCATTTCTCATTCAGAACTATTTCATATATATTTTTACTTACTTAAAATTGAACTACTGTTTCAACCACCTCGATTTAGTAGACATATATCAGCGTAGAAATATAATTTAACATTCTGAAAAGTTAACGTTTTCTTACTATGTGTTTCATGCCTTCTTTCTTAACAAAGACTCAGAATAGAAACTACAATCATGTATTCGCACAGTGGTTAAAAATAAATTATTGAAGTGGAATATTGTGCAAGAGTTGAGCGATGATTGAAGGTAGGTTCGAAACTATGCACTGCAATTCCAACATATAAGCCAACGAGCGTTCAATTTCCGCTTGCTAGCTCAAATCTTGTTTGTATCATTTTTTTAACGATACACAGTACACTATAATAATGTAATAAATCACAGCGAATTAATCGCTACTATAAAATGAAGCGTATCTCGTATTATTAACCAATAATCAGTTACACATAATTTGCCAAGGATTGACAACGGTACATCATGGCATCTCAATTTCACTTATTTTTAAGCTATAAGCATTGGAAACAGCAAATTTCAATGTCTAATATCTTACATGTGTTTACATATAGTGCTAACATTTTCGTCGTTGCACAAGTAAAAATCATCTCAGCTTTTATAGAAAACGTCGATATATATTATATAGTATAAATGTAATCACCGGATTAGTTGCGATATAAAGACAACAAAGACTTCGTTTTATTCCCGGAAACTCTCTTAATTTGTGGATTAAGTATGAAGTGTTTCGACATAACAGTAAATATAAATAAACTATTAAAAAGCGTTAATTTTCATCGCACATCAAATGTCAAAATTTTTTTTTTTTAAAGAGTGACATTTAGTAGTTTTTGGTTATTGAATACTTTCAAAATATAAGTCGCTGAATTTTCAAATATTGCAAAATTACTTCAAATGCATATATATATACGAATAATATAAAATATACGAAAAATATAAAATTACAAAAACGCATATAAGTTTGTTAATTTTTTCGCAAACTTACGCTATGATCCCATTTTATTTGCCTTTAAAAAATGTTTTGAATAAATAGTAGTTTCTAAAAAAGCTACTTTTAAACATGAAAAAATTGTATGACGGTACGCGTCATTATCGTGGGCAAAATGGCTGAAGCTGATCGTGATAATGCTTCTATGATATCAATTTGTTCAAGTTTAGTGTATGGTTTGTAAGTAAACTTAGATTCTGTGCAAATTTTGCTTTTTCGCAAACTATTTTTTAAAGCATAAAGTCATAATTGAATACTATATAACTTTAAAATGCAAAAGAGATATTTGTTACACAATTGGTCATCAATAAACTTGGCTCATGTTATAAGTTAACTACCATAGCAAACTCGTTCTGTTATTGACTTCTATTCGAAACTTATGTTTTAATTGGGTATATTCTATTAGCTCATTTTGATTAGGGTCCATATAAATGAAATAAGAATATTGCCAGACGTTGTTTTTTCCTACAAGCCGAGGAATATAATTTATATTCCATTTTTCATTTTGGTGATATCGTTATATACAATAAAGTTAAAACTCAATATTGAAATGTTATATTCAGTTGATATTCAGACTATAAAATTTATCCTAAAATTTGCGAGAAATTTAGTATCTTTCCAAGATATGATAATTAGTTTATATTTTTTTCTGACAATAGATTTATTTTTGATGACCTCGAAATTTTAAAAACTATCAAGACATAATGACATTTTTTCTTAGTTGTATTTGATTTATAAAACTCTCTCTCTAGTTTAACTTTAAATCGTATATAAAACCACACAGCCTCCAAAGTTATTTTACTATCACTCATGTGTGATCGAAGATAATAAACTTGAAATTCTATCTAGGATTACTCTGTTTTTTATTGCTTTTGATTAAAATCTAAACTCAAACATGACAACAACTTCACATTAATCGTTGTTTAACGACATAAAATTTTACATTCTCGGGCACTAATTGCTGAAATGTCTTGTTTATGACAATAATCCGTCAAACAGATAATAAAAATTACAAAATAAGCATTGCTCAGTAATATAAGACATCAAAACACTATTTTGCAGACATAACCGCAATATTGAAGGCTTGTTCCAGGATTTTAAAAACGTAACCTTTGAAAAATGATAAATTAGTAAATTTATATCATCCAGGATTAATAAATACGTCGCCACGGAAGATTTATATCTTATGAATATTTATTCTTTCTAAAAAATTATAAGATAACTACTTATGATATGTCTATTTTAAAAAATGTGTATATTATGTACATTATAATACGCTTCATTTTAAACAGAAAAAAATTACATTATCCTTGTTTTTTTTAAGGTAAAATGAAGTACAGAAATTACTTTTGTTTTTGGCCGTTTTCATTGTAGTCAATATTAATATCAGTAGAAAAAAGTAATTCCTGGCAAGTGGATTGTATTTTAAATTGCAATCACAGCCGAAATGACCACGAACAGATTCAATCGCATAACATTGCCCAACCCAGCCTATTTGAATCGACAATTTGAGTGTTTTGTATAATGAGAAAGTCTATTTGGACTTTGAAGAAATTGCATTTTTATATCAATCGAATAAAAAAAAATAATCATAACATTTCTTCAACTCAAAATAACAAAAGTTTTAGCTAGTTTTAGAAAAGCTGGTGTTTACAAATGTATTTTAATACTCTCTGTTGACATTGAAACTGTGATTTAATATAAGGATTCTGTACATATTTATGAAATTGGGCCGTTTAAGGTATATACTATTTAACGACTGTAATAAATTGATTTACACACAGGAAGTTGTATGTTTATTTTCAAGTTGTTAAAAAATCTAAATTTGTCAAAGCCTTTTCGATGTCACACTGCTGGTGGACTAGGTAGGGCAAATGTCTTATTTTAAAATTCTACCACAAAAGGTACGCCCATCTTTGAAATGGATACTAATTTTAAACATTATAATGTGTTTCATTTGCTTTTAAACGCAAAGTAAACATAAATAGCTAATATTAAAGTCATTATTATATCGATTTGTGTACTATAAATAAACAATATTTTACTCGCGCCATTAACACTGCGTTCTACGCGATAGCATCTCAAATATAACAATGGAAAACACATTAAGTTTTTATTAATGTTATTAGTAGAACATGACAATTTTACAGAACAAGTTTTTGGCCATGTACGCGGTCTTTCTGCGTTTCTGTACGTTTTCAATGATTTACCAGTTCCCTGCCCTGCATTATACGTGCTAAATTTTATTAAAAAAAAATATAGATTGTATCTGTATACAAGTTATTCACATATAGCAAATATTCATTTTACCGAGAAAAAGTCGGAAAAATGCAATTTCAAAATAAATTAATCTACCTAAATTTATCAATAATATGCGCTTTCATCCTTCTAATTTTTTTAATGTGTTCACGCTTATCTTTCGGGTGTATTTTAATATTTACAATATAGATAACAAAACTTTTGTATATTCTTCTTGTACATTCGCTATTTTGTTTTTTTAAATAGCATCAAATTGATGTCATTATTAATGCATTCGATACATAAAATGTATGGGAAACGCCACCGAGACTAGTAGTGAGCATGTATGCGTTTACATTACCTTCGCCAGCGATTACGCTTAAATATTAAAATGAATTTACCTAAACCATATGCTGTTTATTCTCATTCCGGGCCCTCAAAATTATTTAGTTGTACTTCGTTGAATTATGTTCTATTACCGACGTCTTGCAAATGCTACAAATAAGCTGACTTATATCCAAAATGAAATAAAGAGATATTGTCAGCAATGTCTGACATTAAATTGGGAAAAGTGTGAGCAGTTCAGCAATGTTGTCCTAACGATAGCAATAACGAAGAGTTAGCCTCAATTTCTGGGGGCTAAGAATATATAGGCAAATAAAAAGGACAAATGGGGGGTTTATAGAATTATTCACACCTTGGATGATTAGGTGAATCTGAGACAATATTCCAAGGAATGAACGGGCGTAAACCTGAGATCTCTTTGACGCACAGCAACAAGCTATTATCTGTTAAAACCATTGGAGTCGTGGTTGTGTTTGAATACACGAATCATACGAATTACCACACACTAAACGTTCCTGGTATATCTCTATCGCCAACGGAAATTGTGTTTGGAACCAATTATCAACCTCAAACCTTTCTATGTAGATTCATTCTATTTGCCACAAATTATCTGATATATTTTTTATTTTTATTTTAGTTATATTTTCGCACTAAAGCTGCGATATTTCACAAATAGTTTTGTTGTGTTTTAATCCTAGTTTATTGCAAAACTTGTATCATTACAGACAACATGACATCATCAACACGAGTACAAATTACTTCTGTTGAATCAGAACGACACTGCTCAGCATCTACGTCACCTTGGTCCGGCGGATCATTTTCGTTCTCTCCGATTCCGTCTCAGCGTTCATCCAGCTGTTCGTCTCACCGCGGAGAATATGATACGCACGACAAAAGGCCTGGAAGTGAATATTTGAAATTAGGATCGTCTCGAGAAGAAATTGGCCGAGGCAGAAGTCAGATAGATGGTATGACATTTATATTTATGCTGTTGGTATTTTTTCAGCTTCGTGTCAAAAATAAGAGTAAAAAAAACATCAGAATATATTTACTCACTAACTTGATTAAAACAAACTTAACTTTTTTCGATTGTACACCGTACATCCACACAGGCCATACGACTTGTGTACATTGATAGAGAACTTTGAGTCGATATGGTTTCAAACAAAGAGACTTGTAATTTTAAACAAAGATTGGCAATAACTAAAACGCGATGTATAATATCGTTATCTCAACCAAAGTTTTGAGTTATTCAAAGCATCATTACCACACATCCCAAACGTTCAATTGCAATGCTTGGCAACTCTCCATCGAAATATATAATTTAATTTTGATTAGCATATATACGGTAGAGAGAGAACAGGAGAATCTTTAAGCTGATTGAAACTACAACAATTCCATTCAGTTCTATTCGTTAGAGCGTGAACTTTGGCATGAAATTATTGTACCAGGCGTAGACTTGTAATGGCGTAATTTTCAAATGAATGCAAAAAATTGGTATCCAAAAATCAGTATTCTCTCCAAAATCACTTATTCCAATGACACGCGGGCCATTTTTTATTTTATTTATCTATCAAAATAGGTAAATATTTTGGAATGAAACTCACTGCGAATTTACAATTCGACCAATACAATGTTTGCGTCCTCACATTGAAATTTCCCTAGCTGATTTCACTTATAAAACTTTGAGCAAATTTCTGTAATTTTCAATTTATATTAGACATTTTCTGGATGATTTATAGTTTTGCTTCATCAGACGCAGTCGTTAAACCAACACCCATCAGGAGGGAATGCCTCGGGAATGTCAATTGTTCTACGGCAGAATCGGACGTGCCGATGATCGGCGACGGCGCTCCGTTGCCCCTGGTACCTGACGCACAACATCAGTCAGCCATTGCTTTAGCACTTGCTGGGATATCATCGGATTCTGGTTACTTATATCCTGATTTACTGCCAACGTACAGTCAAGTAAATAGTTTTTATCACACTTTGTTTATACCACATAGTCGAAATAGTTTGCTATTACTGCACGGAACTACCAGTAGTTTTTTATACTTTTTTAGGAATTTTTTTCATTTGCCATTTGTTGTTTTTATTATTCAACTTTGTGAACAAAATTTGCAAACTATGAAATAATATGATTTAATAATAGTTAGGGTTTTAGTGCAGTGAGGATAACAATCGGAGAGTAATATTTTTATTTTATAAATTCAAATCTTAGTATCCAACAAATGCAACAGCTTTGTTGGCTGTTGCTCAACAACAATTGTTCAATTCATCAGCGTCCAATGGATTTTTACGGAAATCTCCACATGATGCCATACCACAAATGATCGGTAATGAAACATTAAAATTTTGAACTTAAATTTTTTTAATTCACTGTTTGAGACAATAAATGGATCTAATAGGCAATTTTTTTTATTTCGAATGATATCAAACAAAGGATTCTTTAAAAATTTTAAAAGGTGGTGTACAGACCTCATTAAAAATTATACCCGGATCATAAAAATACATTTGTTTTAATAAATTGGTTGCAATATAAATTGATGAAAACAATTCAGATCAACAACTTGGGCAACTGCAGCAAAATCCATTTCTTTATCGTTTACCTATGCTTTTGTCGAATGTTCGTGATTCCGGTGCTTTTACTTCACTGCCTGCTGGATTACTGTCAAATATTGACCGACAAAAACAATTACAATGCGTAGACATTACCCGCAGTATGCCGTACATGCTTGGTGGAAACCTCGTAAAGAATGACTTGGCTCATCCATCCGCTTTATCGCTGGGAACTTTGTCTAAATCAATATACAATTTATTTCCTGGGAAGATTGGTATTTCATCTGCATCGCCAACAGGGGGTATTGAAAAAGCAAAGCAGTTAAGCTCAATAGATTCAATGTTTTCTTCAATTAATCCTCATTTTGGAAGAAAACTATCAGATCCGTATTCACCGTGGGGTATCATCGGCAATAAATCTCACGATGTTGCCAGATTCGTGGGTTCAGATGAAGTGAGTTATTGCTTTAACACAGGTTCTTTTTATTTCTATTGTTTATTTTTCAAACCTTCGAGTTTTCTTCCACGTAGATTTAGTTACAATGACTTAGTTGGAGTACTAGAGGTAAAATTACTAGTTGAACACTGCCAGCACATTGTCTATTCTAATACATCTGACAAAAATGAAATTTGTTCAATTTTAAAATAATTCGACCGCATTAAAACCACCATTCGACAATTAAATTGAATTTTCCATGAGAAATATTTTGTTATTTGTATTTTGTTCACCAGAATTCGGAAGATTTGAAAATAAAAAAGTGTCGGAGGAGTCGCACAGTATTTACGGAGCTTCAGCTGATGGGTTTAGAAAGAAAGTTCGAGCATAAAAAATATCTTTCAACTCCAGATCGCCTAGAGCTCGCCAATAGTTTAGGATTGTCTCAACTACAAGTTAAAACTTGGTATCAGAACCGAAGAATGAAGTGGAAAAAACAGGTTTGATAATAAATATACCTTTCATGAGTAGCAAAATGTACAATAAGTTTTTTATCCATTGTTGAGTTGAAATAAAATAGAACATCGGCACATCACATTTTTTACTTTTGTGTAAGATGCTTCTAGTTCATAAAATGAAGCTAACAACGGTGGTGATGACCTCCAGTTTTGTATCTTGTTCTTATCGCTAACAACCAATAAATGCACAATATTGAGACACTATGGTTCAAAAAGTCGGATTCGAACATTTGTGCGCTGTTAAACCTCATAGTGTAGTCCACAATGAAATCTTGTACATATATATACAAACGATTAACATCGCATCTGGTAGAAATAACCATTGATGATATTTATAAAAATACGGTTTCTCAGTGCTTCAAAAACTTCATTTTGAAAACAATGGCGCTTTTCAGCTAAAATCATTTTTTATATATTTTACTTTTTGTATACGCAAAATTACGGGCGTATAAGAAATTTATTAGCCCTATTTGCCTAGGTAGAAATGGAAAAAGCTTCGCTAAAATATGTTAATGATGAAAACCTGCCGAATTATCGCCTTTTGTGTTATAATAAGGGAGTGTTGTTACCTCAAACCCACATTATTAAATCCGATTCAAAATATTTAAAACACCCAATTTTGATGAAATGTTTCACGTTTATTTCATAATCAGTGTAGGTTTGAAATTCAAAACTATCGCATTCCAAAACAAAACATTGCTACAACCATGCAGGCATGTGTCTACATGGAATCAAATGTATATCATTTTTGGAAAGCATGGTGATTTGAATATTCTAGATTTCTTTCAATTCTGCTACTTTTAAAATAAATAGAAACTTGTGCACAACTAGAGAGCAAACTCATTTTTGAAGAAATCTACTCGATACTGAAAATAAAAGACTAGACATGACTTGTTTATTTGAATTACTACGTCAGCTCAGAACTAAACGACAACCAAAGAGTTTAATATGCAATTCAAGAGTCCTGCTGCACACTAACACAAATATATTTCTGTAACGTTTCGTCTAACCAAAATTAAGATGTTTAACTTGACATATCTGATAGAGAGACAATTGACTGACATTGTGACGTTACAATATTACAAATTCGATCCATGAAGTTGTCTTTAGAAGCGACTAAGGCCAAGACTGATTTTTATGGTAATCAAATTTTTCCAAATGAACATGTTTTGCGTCATCGACTGTCAATCTCGTTGTTTTTTAGAGAAAAATTCTACATCGGTCTAATATTTTGATGTTTCTTATTGGCTATGGTCTTCTAAGTCTGGGTCGCTTGATATCACACACGGCTTTCAATATTGTAAAATCTCATTTTATTTTGTTTCTAATGCGCAATTTATTGAGACATTGTATGAAGTCGGATTCAAGTTATCGAGTTTTCAAAATTTTCAGTGAATATTTTGTGTTTTAAATTTCTGTTCACGTTTCGTAATTTGGATACAGCACTAATTTGCTCAAATAAAATGGCGATCTCGAGCTTATTACATAAAACGGACGAACAAAACATATTTAGCGCACTCAGAAGCACTCAACCAATCATAATGCATTACCGAGGTGAGTGAGTCAAAATAGGATCAAACCAATAATACCGCAATTAAGTCGCCAAAGCCAATAAATATTTTGGGGGATAAGTGCACCCTAACACGTGTCCACGTGCCCCGTTAATTTGCAATTAGCGCATTAGATGCATTAAAGAGCGGCATACATCTCTATTAGCGTGTCCGTTCCTCGCTATTACGCGCAGGTATAAAGTGTAGAGTGTGACCCCTTTTTGCGCTCCACTCTTATTAATCATCTTTTTTTTAGCGTCAGAAGCGTGCTTCTACTAAAATGCTAATCTACAATATTGTTGCATTTATGAAAGGAAATTTTGAACGAAAATTTCTGATTTAGCACAAACAATAAAACAAGGATATAACAACATAGTCTTCTGTCTTTCGCCGCGCATAAGTATGTGATCAATAGAATAATAATTCAGATTGCATTTTTTACACCATTAAAACAATTAGAGCGTTTCTTAACGTAATTGAAAACATTACAGCCTATTGGATTTAGAAAAGTCGGTATAATGGACGATATTGATAAGGCTGGGAATTTCCGGGAAAACATTTCAACCGTTAACCGGGTAAAATTAACCGGTTAACCGCGGCGTGACCTTTGACGTAATAATTCAAAATTGGTACGTCACAATGGTTACAAAGCAATATCGCGTGATCTTATCCCGGTGTCACCCTATATTATTCACGAATTAAAATAGTTTATTGATCGCTCTGCTGCAAGAGACATGCGGCGTACTTTGGACGAAGTATTTTAATAAAACCCGATTCCCTTATTAAATGCGATTTATGTGACAAATTTGTGTTGTGTGCAAGTTCTACGTTATGATATCATGAAAAAAACAGCTTCGACTACGCACTTGTTGGATGACATTGAATAAATGATTTTGCAATAATATCGTGAACAATATATTTCGACCGAAAACTGATTCTGAATTTATCATTGTCAGATTGCATAATCAGCAATCTTGGTCTTGAATTATTTTCCACATTTATTGGGTTCTTAGCAATACAGTTAGTGATATTCTTTTAATCAAAGCCACAGGAGATAAATTCACGATGACGTTATCATTTTAGAAAAAAATTGTACATTATATAAATGCTTTGGACCTGAGATGTCAGTTAACGGTTAAAATAAATCCTAACTGTTAACCATTTAAAATCGGTTAACCGGTTAATCATTTCCAGCTCTAGCCACTATTGCATATTTTGTGTCATTTACCAACTTCATATAACTTATATTTTCAGAGTCAACTTAGCGGTAACTTGCATGAGTCGCAACTGAAGCCTAAAGGACGACCCCGGAAGACTCCAGATCCCAATGAAAAAAGGATTTTCAACAATGAGACGCAGCATCAGATTTGTGGAGATATCAGAGATTTAAATAAATCCCATTCAGAGTATAATCCTGCTATTAAAACGACGAGCTGGTCAGTTAATAAGATGATGGAAGAAACAAAGTATGGGACAAAAAACAAAAAAGAAAGATCATATGCCTTCACCTCGATAAAAGACCCAAAAACTGTGAATCAATTTGGAGTGTTTGAAAAACGTCAATCTACAATGACAGAAAAGGCCCAATCGCCTGTTAATACCACGAAATCTTACAAAGATGAAGCACCAATGAACAAATTAACCCACGAAAGGATAACGAATGAGCCGCTCGTAAAAATAGCTGAAATTATTGGTGTAAATTCTCGTACTCCGGAAGACACGCGCGATTCAAGGCCACTTTCTTGACATTTTAACATTTGTGGCAGAAATTAAACGATTGATATTAATTTTATAAAATAAAAATCGTTATTTCTGGATAAAATTTCGTGTTGAAAGTTTATTGTACTATACTGTGCTTCATATGTGGTAACATAATTTTTTGCTAGGCTTAACAATGGATGAAAAACCCATATTTTTGAGCAACTTTGAGATGTGACAACCTTATAATCATAGTTTTTAATCGTGGAATTGATACTGCCCCGATTTTTCATCAAATCTATTCAATATATGAGTTTAGGCGAATTTTATATACATATGTAATGTGAATGTGCTATTAGGTTAGACCTATTTGCCTTTATTTTACTCTCGGTCCTGCCTGCTACTCTAAGCTGTCGTTAGTGTTGAATAAAGAATGCTTCGGGGGAGGATACGGAAATATAATAGCATCTTTGAATATTTGGCGAATATACAGTTTATTTTACATCTATATATCTTAATTCTCGGCCAGGTGACCGTCATGAGCTCAATAAAATCGCTAGTTACCCTATGAATCACCCAGCGTTTTCCTTGTTTTGAGAATTTGCATTTTAGTGTGCCAAGTAAAAATTTTCATGACACTAATAAAAAATGAGTTGCAAATTCAAAGGAAACATGTGATATTTGCGTCACCTCAGGAATAGTTCAATTCTAATAAAAGAGGTGAAAATAACACCATATTGCCGTGTCTGGGGGCCATGTATGATACAAAAATAAAAATTCAAAAAGTTACATTTCACGAGTACAAAAACCTTAGTACAATTTGAGCACAACTTAAGCAATGGATGAGAGATGGATGGAAAAGAGTGGAATGGCGCACTGAAAGTTTTGCGTCAGGATCAGATGATTCCCATCAGTCATCGCCAATGATTTTTTATGTTACCTTATATAGGAAAGTGTTGAAAAATTACTGGGTACAGATGATACCGGTGTGGGAATAGATAACACTTTATGGAATTCTGTTTTTCTACATTCGTGCCTTGAAGTGTGCAGCGGTGTATGCTATATTATTGATCGAAAAAGTAACTCGGTGTATTGTAAACCCATCCTAGTGGCTAACGCAAATGCTTCTTATCAAGTGAACTACATTCTGAGAAATAGCATGCAAACAGAGTTCGTACTTGTGACCAAAAAATGATTGCAAAGAGCGTCGTTTACTGTCGAACAAATCTGTTTGCCCTACTACTTGTGTGATAGTAAGCAATCAGTACAACCTGTTTAAAACACAAAACGTTATAGCCTCTTTGGCCATGAGTTTTGAGTGAATGGTTCTACAGTCAACGAAGCAAATCAAAGACAGGGAAGTCAAAAGGTTCGGATTTCCAATTAGGCGAAATAGGTTGGAGCCTTGGGAGCCTCGACATTAAATTTTGAACTATTATTCATTTTCTAAGTCATCTGAAAAGAAAATATCCGGCGTCATGTTGTATCATTACAGTTTCCTAAAGAGTTGTTAATTTCAATTTACTATCAAGAACTTTGATGATTGGCGTACACATATCCCCAGCAAATAAAATACGAAATGTATTTAGGAAGTCACAATATACCGGGAGCGTATTATTACGTCATGCGAGATCAGATTCCGTGATGTACAAACGTAGAGACACCTCACAAATGGCATATCCTACCCTTGGGCCTATTATTATTCAAGTCTGACTGGTCAAATTCCTGATTATTTACGATGTTAAATACCCCCCCCCCCCTCACAGATCATATGGATATTCTTCCTAGCCCCCGAACTGATCATAATAATGGCTACCCAAACCCAGCGTGTTGAGTGTTCAGTAGCAGTATTGTAAAAAAAAATGACAGACACATTTGATAAAACAAATGTAGATACATTTTATTCTTTTTTCTCTCTTCATATTATCCTCGTGTACAAATTCGTCCCCAGCCTTTATGAACCATGCATCAGCACAGTGCCGGTACCGTCCAACTCAGCTTGCAATATGGTGCTCCAGTCACTTAGACGTTACCGTATTTGTGCCATGGTTGTCATGGTTATCTGACAGTCGGCGTTCGGAGTCGTTTGCTTAGTGAGTCCGGAAATATCCGGTCTTTTTAAACATATTTCTGCCAATGTTAGTATTTTGGCGTCTGACTCCTCACTTTAGGACTATATTTAGTTCGATTTTTGTTCTTGTATGACCCAATGTTAGACTATTTATAGGTGTCGCTGCTAGATAACCAATGCTGGTTTATCGCGTCCCCTTTCACCCTGAAATGCATTATTTCCCTTTCTTTTTTTATCTCGTTCTGTATGTACAGTGTGTATTTCTTGGTAATAAAATAAATTACTGATTACAGATACTTGTATGTTTTCAACCTAGGGAGTCCGATTCAGGTCTATACTTTTGAAATCTAAGTTTCGTTTTTTGCTGGTTCCATTTTTTTTCAAAATGATGCGTTTGGTTCGTTATTATACACTAAAAATACCGAAAATACATTACTAATTCTAATGAGTGCATTTTGGACCTTATTTTATCGCTCTTATTTCTAATGAACACATATATACAAGCGTCTAATTAGATTGCATGTTTTAACATGCGTATGTATATATACTTTGGCAAGCTCTCTGACGTGGTTGTGGCGTAATTTTTGGATGGCGTAGTCTGTTTGGGGTTAGGATTGACATGTGCAAAAATCGTTATGATGCGCCCACTAGAAGTAACCTGCTCGAGGTACGAAACTACACGAGACCAATTATTCAAAAATAAACATCTTTTAGTTTGAACAATCGTTTCGGATTTTGAAAGAACCTATCAGGTAGTATAGATCACAGGGATGGCGAACCACTGACCCGCGGGTCACAAAGTGACCCACCGCACTTTTTCGGTGACCCGCAAGGGCACGTATTAAAAAAAACGTACTGACATATTCCGGTATGTGATAAAAATTGATAAAACAGGCTCTAATAAAATTTAACAATAAATGAACTATTAAGGATAAAGGATAAGATTCACATATTTATCCCGGGGGAGAGGAAAGCCGATAAGACGGCTTATCCATATGGCGAACCACGCCTCTCGTCCGGTTACCATTCCAAGTCGGATATGGGATTAGATATATTGTTTGTTTTCGGAAGCATGGACTTGGAATGTACCATCAGTTGGGCAGCCAGGGCAGCGATCTCTCAAATTTTAATTTTCGGGTCGGTATGATAATTTTCAGAACTCCCAATCTTGGACGCACGTCTACACCTTTGTATTAGAGATGTACCGATACCACTTTTGTTGCCGATACCGATACCAACTAAAACCGTCGATATCGATACCAATATTTAAAATATGCCGATAGTGCCGATACCAATTTTCCGATGCTATGTAATTATTACCTCTAGTGTGAAGGGCAGGTGGGTTAAAACAATAGTTTGAGCATTATTCATACTGCAGCACATCATTTCAGATTGAAAAAGAGATATATCACAAAATAAGAAATAGATGTTTGGAATACAGATGCGTTAATAGATTCAGATGCATTGTGCACTGAGGCTAGTAATTTCGGTGTTCAATTAGAAAACTCATAGTGGGCAGTGAAATAAATAAATGCATAGCTTATTTTTCCAGCAAACTGATACATTGAATTACGTGCGCAAGATTTCGTGCCGTGCCGTGCCGATATAACGTCTTATTTTGTACTCTACACATTGGAAATCCACTAATATTCGATTGATATATTTCTTCCTAATTACCATGTAGCCTAGTATTAAAAATGCTATATAAAATATAATATAAAAATTTGGCAGCTAAAAACATGTCAGAATCCTATTCCCGTTTCTACTCGCGGGGGTGGGGACGTGCATAGCTCATAGTTCACGATCCTTCCAAGTAAAAAATAATTTCAACATCTGTATTCTAACTTATTTTTAACACATTCTGGATCATATTAAAAAGCAGAATATATCGGTCGACTTTTAGCCGATACTGAAAATTTGGCCAATATTGCCGATACATCGGTACATCTCTACTCTGTATACCGTCATGTAGCTATTGAATGTGACATCGTTTATGACATAACGATTCAATTGATCTGTTCATTTCTCGCGCAACGTCTTGTTACAGCTTTTAATTTCGGAAGTGCAAAACTGAAAGGCACTGCAGACTGTTTTGGGGGGATATACGAGAACTGGATGCTACTTTGCTTTTTATTAGATTCTCGCCGACAATGCCATTGGGGAAACAATATCTTTTAACTTGAAATAAAGACCTAGAAATCTGAAATAAAAATGGAACAGTGTAAAAGTGCCTTAATGTGGTTGAAAACCGATCGAAAAATATAACTCTGTCAGATTGGAATTCTCTCCAAACTCTCTGAAACCTTAAAATATTTTTCCGCATCATCTTAAACGCTTTTTGGTAATTCATATGCGTGTTTTAGTACACAAATTTCATAAAAATCGAATGCCCTAAAGAGTCTAGTAGGCCTGGTAGAAGTGCGACATAAATAAACCCCAAAACTACACAACACCAACTGGAGCTCATAAGATTTGCAAGATAAGCTGCAGCAGCAAGTTTTTCATAGATACATACATTGATTAAATATCTGTGACCCACACTCTTCTGTTCCGTGATAAAAATATAATTTTTGACCAATTCATTGAAAAGGTTCGCCATCCCTGGTATAGGACAACGTCAACAAAAATAAAGGGCTCGTACGAACATCTATTTCGATCAATCAGTCAGGATGTGCCATTGTGTGGTGCTGCAGTCGTTATAGTAAGATAAATTGGGAGGGACAATTGTACGTATATATGTGAAACAAGGAAAAACATGAATATTGAATGTAAATTTAAATAGGCCTAATTGATGATACTATCGATGATGGAACTTGAAGAAATGTTCAAAGAGAAAAGTACAATTACAATTACCTTCCGTGGGATGCGCACCACTCAAGGTTCGAACCCCATGCGGGGATAGTTATGTGCTAGAGCTAGATGATTATTGGACTCCTCGCCGTTGTATGGTGGTTCGCGTAACCGCTGGTCGGTTACGGTTCCTCTATCATCAATCCATGCTCCCAAAAACAAATAACTAACTATTCCCATATCCGACATGGAATGATAACCGAACGAGTGGCCGTCTTAACCACGGGCTTTCCACAGAGGGCGCTACAAAATATTTTATCATCAATTTCCCGAAAAGCATATATATGTGACAACTCACCAATACGGTGCCAGTATCAGGGTACCGGTAACCACACGGAAACTGTTCAAGCTTTTCCAAATCCTGTGACGATGATCCATTCTTTACATGCACTATGGCTCCATATTATGCTTCAAAATATTCAACTCCCTGACATTCTAAAGTAGGCTTACTTACAGCTAATTTCAGCCTACATAATTGCAAATTTCGTGATTATATTCTGATTACCGCAACTAAACTAAAATTTCATGGAAAGGAAAATGACCATTAATTCACTTTATTTATACCGAAAACGCAATTAAATATATACTGATTAATGCCACCTAAACAGCAACAACGAGATGATATTTGCAACACTGTTTTTCATACTTTTGGGTGAAAAGGAACCATAATGAATTATATCATAAGTTCGAGGAACCCTTGCGCAACAAATTGATTGTTGGATCTCCGCTCTGTAGGAGACCCTTATTCTCAGTCGTTCTGTCTGTTGGATCTCCGCTTTATACGACAGGGGTCCGCAACTACTTTTTAACGCGACCCAAAAATAA